AACACAAGCATAAATATACCCCAATAAGAACACATAAAGAAAGAAGAAACTTCTAAGGGACAGATTAGGTAAAATTATAAGAAACCAACCAACCAACCAACCAATAAAAAACCTAGCTCTAGAAATGGAGACTGTGGCCCTTTGAAGAGAGGACTAATTGACAATCACTTCTGAAGTACCTTCAGTTTGGCAAGCATACAGTTAATTTCCAATGTGCTAACAGGGAAAACTTGAATAAATATGGATCACACATAAAAGTTATTATTTTCTTACTGTTAATTTCAACTTCTTCCTCAGAAACAGTTTGATAATTACTATGAGCAGTGACATTCTAATTATCTTAATTTCCTTCTCTCTCTTCTCCTTCCTACTCTTATCTACAAATATGCTGCCAAACAGGCAAACATGACAAACATGAGGGAGACAGGACATAAGGACACTGGTAACAGAGGAGTGTGAGCTACAGTGCAGTCCATGAAACACTATGTAGATCTACTCACTGATGCGTTTTGTTCTCCACCAGAAGCCACTTGTCTTCTGCTACAAGGAAAACTGTCTTGAGAGTGATGGGAAGTGAGATGGTATGAGTTCGCCCTTCTAGAACATCCAGCACAGTGAGGCTGTTCCTGTAAAAAGCAAAGGAGAAGCAAACTGTGTGAAAGAAGACGGTAAGAATAATGGTTGAATAAACCATGGCATAATCACTCAGTGGCATATTATGCAATCCTTAAAAAGAATGTTTTTAATCCTACTTCTGTAGTGATACTGCCTCAGGAACCCAAGGAGGGCTCGCTATGAGTCAGGTTTGACTCGGCGGCAAATAACAACATAACAACAACAAGACTAAGTAATAGCATATAAAAAGCTAATTGTGAAAACAGGTATAGATAATCTCTATGAAGAGTATGCATAAGAAGAAGCACTAGGGAGTGGTACACTGTAACGCTAATAGTCGTTGGATCATTGAATCATGAGCACTTTCTTATGTCTGTTTTTAATTGTTCTATAATGTGGGATGAATTAATTTTATAGTTAAACATTTATAATTCGGTTTCATGAGCTTTATAATAACCAGTCCACTTGCTGTCAAACTGACTCCAACTCATGGGGACCCTGCATGTGTCAGAGTAGAACTGTGCTCATAGGGTTTCCAGTATAGTATGTGTCACTTAACATCCAGGAAATGTTTTGTGAAATAAGACATTATGTGATTTGGATGCTGTGGAAACACTATATTAAAATCTTATGGAAGGCTGCTTCTAGTTTGCTTCTTTGCTGCTGCTGCTCCGCCTACATGAGCAACTGGAGCAGCCTGGGCCCAGCAGTCCCCACCGCTGCCTGCCTGCCAGACAAAGCCTGAAAGCCCATGCCCAGAGCCATGTCCTCTGCCTCACAAGCCTGTATTCTACCCATGGTCCAGTGCTGTAAGAGTTTGGTCTTTAAACCCATTAGGAGAAAATAATAAACAAAAGGAGAGCTGTGTTTCCTAAAAAAAATAATTAATAAATAAACTTACGGGTCTAGGACATATATGTGTTTGGACATTGTCCAAATGGATGTTAAGTGATGCATGCCTGTAGTTGAGCTTTTGGAAGCAGATCCATAGAGCTTTCTTCCCAGGTACCTCTGGGTAAGCAGCTGAACATGTTAACCATTATAATAAACAAGTATAATTAAAACAGGAAACAGACGGACAAAGTAGGGACCCCAGTTTAAATCTTCTACATTAACAAACTCACCCATTTTCTTTGTAGAACACTAGCCAGTTTTTGTGTGAAAATTCTTTGCACATTTTATAAGTTTCCTAAAAACAAAACAAGACAAAATATTCACATTAAATGTGTCAGATGCAGGCATGTTTCTTCAACTGCTGCCCCTTAAAGTTATTCAATGTGTAAAACATGCCATTCTCAGAGAAGCCACTGGTTATGCACACCAAGCCTCTTATGGTGACATGGATTAAAGTATTTTTTAAAATTTGCTGTGACCTATGTTCTAAAACAATTTCAGAGTAAAAATCTTAAAAATAATGCCTAACACTGGTTAGAAATAAATATGTTATTTAGTGATTAACTGTGGAATTTATACCATAACATAAATAAACCAAAAACCAAACCCATGCCATCGAGTTGATTCTGATTCAGGTGGACCCTATAGGATAGGGTAGAACATCCCTGTAGGATTTCCAAAGCTGTATGTGAATCTTTATGGAAGCCGACTGCTACCACATCTTTTCCTCATGAAGCAGCAGGTGGGTTCATACCACTGACCTTTCTGGATAGCAGGTGAGTGCTTCAACCACTGTATCACCAGGGATCTTTATAATATAAATACATAGGGGATACTTTATTTCTTAGAGTTGAATATATTTATGACATTTTTGTGGGCTTTTGAGACTTACCTATGCTGCCATTTAGGGCAGAGTAAGCCTTATTTAATATCCCTTCACCTTTTTCTGAATCACAGAATAAGTTCTCTTGGTCTCAAATTTACTTACACTTTTTATCTAGTAGGTGTGATTAGATGTCTTACTCATGGGTTCATCATAATAACCCAAAACATAAACACATAGCTAAAAAACAGGTTAAATTCATTTTAAGATTAGAAATTTGTTATGAATAGCCTACACAAATAGCTTTTACTGTTTCATTGTTTGTAAATCAGTCTGTCATGCACATAATGCACACAAAATGAAGCCACTGGTATTTAAATATATTTATCTTTATAGTATTAAATCTGAAAGTGCATAATAAGGGAATTATTTTGTGCATTATAGTAGATAAGGAGCTCTGGTAGCATAGTGGCTAAGGCATTTGACTGCTAACCAGAAGGCTGGCGGTTCAAACCCACCAGCCACTCCTCGGAAGGAAGATGGGGCAATCTACTTCTGTAGTGATACTGCCTCAGAAACCCAAGGAGGGGTCGCTATGAGTCGGGTCTGACTCGACGGCACATAACAACAACAACAACAAGAGGCCCTGAAAGGGTTGGCAGACAGGCAGGCATCTTTATGGTGTTAGAAAGCTAGGATAATTAGCCAGACAAGGCTGGTATTCCTTACAACCTCCTCCTTGTTCCACCAGGAAGATCTCTTAGATGCGTTCTCTTCTTCTGAACAGACGATAAGGCGACGAAGGGCCCAGCTAGTGGTATCTAACAACAGGATGACATTACTCTGGAAATAAAGAGAATAGTGAACAGCTCAAGATGTCTTCCTTTTTTAAAAGCAACAATCTCTTGGCAACCTGGGAATGAAGGTTATAGTGATAAACCAAAAGGAAGACAACAGCAGTGAAATGCTTAAAACAGCAAAATGCTGTTTGAATTGTGTCCCCCCAAAAGATAATCAGTCCTCATCCCTTGTCCCTGTGAACATGACCTTGTTTGGAAATGAAGTCATACTAGTTACCCTAACCCTTATGAACTAATCAATCTGAGTAGTGTACTTATAAAGAGAGAAGACAGGGAGACACACAGAGGGAAGGTGGTCGTGTGGAGACGGAGGCAGAGGTTGCAGTGATGCATCTACAGACCAAGGAACCCTCAGGCTTAGCAGGGACCACCAGACGCAAGGAAAAGAGAAGGGCTGATCTCCCCCAAGAGCCTTCAGAGAGATGATGGACCAACTGACACTTGGTTTTGGACTTCTGGCCTCCAGAACTGTGAGACAATAAATTTCTGTTGTTTTAAGCCATCAAATTTGTAGTGCTCTGTTACAACAGCTCTAGAAAATTAATACAGATACTGTGAAGACAATGAATGATTTTTCTTAATACAGAATTTCAAGTATTAGATAGCATTATGAAGATATTTCTATTAAGTAGTACAAAAGGTAATCTTTTTGACGGTTTTTATATTACCCTTCTAAATACAGGCTTGATTAACTACAATTCTATTTTATTAGATAGGAATGAGAAAGTTAAGAGTATTGATAATTAAAGGGTCCATTTACTACCCCCCTGTCCCTGGCCCCCGTAGGGTCCATTACACTTAAAGAATGCTCTGTTGAAAACACTCTTAAATTGTGCAGAATTAAATCTCACTTAACCTTTTCACAAATTCAAGTTAAATTCAGAAAATATGTACATGATATAAAGGTGGGTTAATAAGACATTATGAAGGGCCACCAAGAACCGAGGGCTGTTTTTTGTCTTGAAATTCACTCTGCTAGAAGACCTTTCATGCTGGTGGTGTAATAATGTACAAACAAGAGGGTTCTTCAACATTACTAATCACAGCTATTCAAATGAAGGAATCATTTCTCATTAATTAGGAGCATTTTTAAGGAAAAAATATTCTTATAAACCTTAAGCATTTAAATAAGCTTTTAAAAAAATGCATATGAAATAAAACCTTAAAATTAAGAAAACCAGACAAAACTAAATCTTTTGAAGGGATTCAAGGAAATTGATTTTTTAAGTTTCATTTTAAAGATGTTTGAAGATTACACTAACAGGTTTGCAGAATGACATCTGCCAGTTGTTCAGACCTCATTGTTATGCAATTGTCTTTTCTTTTTTGTACATTTGGAGTCCCTCCAGTAATCTTAACTCCTAGGAATGTTTCATTATAAGCGGAACAAAAAGCACTTTCTTTGCAGTAAAAAAACAATCAAGCACCCAAAGAATTAATACATACTTTGCAAAATATAGGAAACAATAAAATATGAAATGTTTGTTCACTTATGTCATGTCCTTATCAGGCAGCTTAAACTTAAGGCACAATGGCGAATACAAAGTTGAACCAACCATGGCCCTTGCCCTCCAACACATCGTCTACTTAGAGAGAGATAAAAAGAAACGTAAAAACTGCCACCTCACAGTGTGGTTTCAAATGTATTTACGAGCTAATTTTACTGAAGTGCTCAAGAATTAAAATAGTACTCACACCACATAATTTTCTTCACATATATCATCCAAGTCCTGACTGCATTAAAAAAATTCTACTAAACTTGGTGGCAAATCTTTCATTTTTCCACAAATATCTTCACCCTTAGAACGTATCATTTTGTATAATATGGAATTCTGTTTTTAGAATATTTGTTTGGAATAGTCTTTTTAGAAATTGCATCTAATTTTAAAAAGTATCAACAACAACATCAACATTATTCATTGACAGTTGAAAAGTTCAAAACTGGTAATAACATCTTAGAATTTTCATTAAGAAAATATATTGTTGTTGTTCTTATGTGCCATCGAGTCAGCCCTGACTCATAGCGACCCCTCCTTGGGTTTCCGAGGCAGTATCACTATGGAAGTAGGATTGCCCAACCTTCCTTCCGAGGAGTGGCTGGTGGGTTTGAACCGCCAGCCTTCTGGTTAGCAGTCAAGTGCCTTAGCCACTATGCTACCAGAGTTAATTTATAAAGTCTCCATTGTAGATTGAATCTTTTTTTAAAAAAAATTCTCCTGGTAAAATGTATGTAACACAAAATTTGCAACTGTAACAATTCAGTGACATTAATTACATTCACCATATTGTGCAATTATGACCACTATTTCACAAAGTTTTCATTCCCCAGAATAGAAACTCACTATCCCTTAAGCAATAAATCCAATTTCCTCCTCCCACCATCCCTGGTAACCACTAATAAACTGTCTCCATGCACTTGCCTAGTCAAGATATTTTGTATGAGTGAGATCACAGAATATTCGTCCTTTTGTATCTGGCTTATTTCACTCAGCATAATGTATTTTCAAGGTTCACCCATGTCATTGCATGTATCAGAACTTCATTTCTCTTTATGGCTGTGTAATATTGCATTGTATGGATGTACCACATTTTATTTATGCATTCATCTGTTGATGGACACTTGCGTGGTTCCCACCATTTGGCTGTTGTGACTACTGCTACAGTGAATGCTGGTGTACATGTGTCTGTTTGAGTCCCTGTTTTCAATTCTTCTGGGTATATACCTAGGAGTGGAACTGCTGTGTCATATAGTAATTTTATATTTTAACTTTTTGAGGAACCTAGATTAAATCCATTTTGATTAAGTATTTTTAAGGGATAAAAACATTTTTATATGATAGGTATGTTCAACATTATCATTCATTCTTAGCATTTGAACAATTGGGATAATATTAACTTTTCTAAACAAAAGAGAGTACTAAAAAGACATTTTATCCCAAAAGATGATTTAAACAGAAAAATAAGCAGGAGATTAAGGAAATATGATCAAGTAGAAAAATAAGGTAACACAGTTTAAAATATTTCTTCCTGTTTTAGGGTTTAATACTTACACACTCACAATTTGGCATAAAGTGAACTGAAAAGCTGTATCTTTTTAAGGGGGAGAACATACACACACATACACACACACACACACACACCCCATGACACACGCATTTCCAGCCATTACTCTTTTAGAAGTAGTTTTATAAGCAGTTGGTAACATGAGGGAGTTCTGCTGCTCCATCCTTTTAGATGTTAATGGTTTCCTTCTGTAAATGACTAATGATATATTCTGTCTGAGTTTAAAAATAGAATTTTGCATCACACATGAGTACATGTAACTGGCTTTGGCATCCCTGGAATGGGGGGCAGGGAGGAGAAGCAAGTGTGCGATTTTATCATGTTTGTATTTGACTGGGAGAAAAGTGACCTCTGGATGACCTCAATGTCCCAAAGTCTGAAATTCTAAACTTTGTACAGATGTAATAAGTAATCTCATGGGGGTTATTTTTTTATTTTTAGGCATGGCAAAGTTTCCCTTTCCTCACTTAAGACTTTATTTGAGCAAAGAATTTTTGAACAACGTCTTAAACTAACCAGAGAAATGCATCTGCAGTAGAGCTTTATTTTAAAGACCCAGGATAAATGAATTAGTGGAAGGCCTTCTCTGCAACGTTTTAGCTTCATTTTCAGTTAGGGCAACATGGAGAAGAAGGAAGTGATAGCATTACACTAATTTTTTAAAAAATTAGCCTAGAAGTATTTGTTGTTTGTTAAATTTCACAGTTGCGCGCTGTTCATTTGGAATTAAACATTTCTCAGATCCTAAAAGGGCCCTGCTTTAAAACAGCGAAGGTATCCTCTCTGGGAAAAGATGAGTCAGCTCAGAGGGCAGGTACAGAGCACAGATGTGCTGTGCCCATCTGCTCAGAGTGTGTCAGTGGCTTTCAGGAAAACTGCTGACACTGTGAAAAGTTGAAACTATGGCCGAAGCGCTCATAAAGCAGCATGTAAGAATGCAGAGAGGCAAGGCATTGGCTATGGAGCTCAAGCACATCTTTACAATGAAAAGCATATTTTCTTTGATGAAAGTCATTTTAATTAAACAGAATATTAACCAAGAAGGTTGCCAACTAACTGAATCTTTTGAGAAAATAAAGTACTTGCTGAGAAGTTAATAATCTGGTGTTTTGAAAGAATTTGTATACGTAATTTCGACAGTTAATTTGACAGCTGAAAATTTGGCAGGACAGTTTGAATAAACACTCTAAATTTAGATTTAGATTCTCATCCACATTTTATTGGCTTACTGAATTAAATGTCACTAAGAAATCATGTGCTTTTTATGGCAGATCTTCTAACTATAGAGTTTAATTCAATGGCATTGATACACTGTTGGAAATTTGTAAGGTGAAACCCTTCCTTCAATCTGCTAAATACAAATTTTTATGAGCAACATCTGGATATTCATAAATTCTGCTTCCAGGAGACAATAAAAAATGGGGAAAAAAAAGTAAAAGCAAAACCAGATAAAACCTTTTTAACTCACAATTTATGACAAATTTAGACAAGAACTAAATAATTACTCAGTGAAGAAAAGTAAAAAAAATAATAACTTGTTGTTGGGTGTTGTCGAGTCAAATTTGACTCACAGTGATGCCATGTGACAGGGCAGAACTGCCCACATTGTTTGCTTAGCTGTAATCTTTCCATAAGCAGATTGCTGGGGCTTTGTCCCATGGGGCCGCTGGGGGGTTCAGACCACCAACCTTTCAGTTACTGACATGTTATTTATACAATATTTTTCTCTTGATGAGTTAGAGTCTACAAGTATTCTTTCTTGGTAACACTTTGCTCTCCTAGTGACTTAAAATACCCGTGAGCAACAACATTCACTTAACATTTTCCTATCGTGAATACACACTCTCAAATTTTTCATCCGAACATTTTCCCCAAGTATCTGCAGTGAGTTAGAGAGTTATGAAGTTTAATTCTGGTGGGGTCTATCCAATTCGGTTTGAATTTCAGTTCTAGTACATACTCACTGGGCAAGTTCTTCAACTCTCTGAGTTTCAGTTTCCTCATATGTAAATAAGGCGAGTAGCCACCTCAATGATGGTTGTAAGAATAACATGAAATAATATATGTCATACCCTACTGATACATTTTCAGGATTTAACCATTGATCCTCCTACTTAAGACATTCATTACTTGTCTTACGAGATACCACGTTCTCCTGGTTTATCCATCTATTTCACTGACCACTCACCCACATCCCCCTTCATTGATTTCTCCTCATCTCTCTGACTTCTTAATATTTTAGTACCCCAGGGGTTCCCATTTCTACCCACATTCACTCTCTGAGTGAGCCTTTCCAGTCACATGGCTTTTAAATATCATTTATATGCCAATGACTCCCAAATTTATATTTCCTGTCCTAACCTCTCCATTGAACTCCAGCTCATCATCTACTTGGATATCTAATACACATTACAAATTTAATCAAATATATGTTCTTTCCTCCCAAACCTATTGCTTTCCCATTTCATTTAATGGCAACTCCACCCATTCAGTTGCTCAGACCTTAAACCTTGAACTTTTGTGTTGTCTCACTCCATACATCTGTTCTGTTAGGAAATCCTTTTGTACCTACCTTCAAAATACCATTAGAATCCATTGCTACTTACAACCTTTATTCTACATCAAACCACCATTATCTCTTGGTAGGGTTTTTTCAAAAATCTCAGTTTCCCACATTCTCCTTTAGGACGATAGACTATTTACTACAGTGCAGCCAAAGTAATCCTTTCAAAATATACCAAATCAGGCTCCTTTTCTGCTCAAAACCCTCTAATGTCTTCCTCTTTTACTCAGAGTATGGGCCCAGAACCTCACAGTGGCCTACAAGGCTCTGTGCAGTCTGCTTCTCTTGCCTCAGTCCAGTTCTTGTCCCAACCTACCGAGTAACCTCTTGGGTTCACCTCCTATTCTCCTCCCATGCAATCTTCCCCACCACATAGAGGAAGAGGCATGTTCCAGCTTCAGGCCTTGGCATTTACTATTCCCTTTGGAGAGGAATACTCTTCTTCCAGATACCTGCACTCCTCCTTCATCAAGTTTTTGCTTAAATATCACCTTCCCAGTGACACAATCCCTGACAACACTATGTAAAATTGCAGTCTGTTTTACACTCACCCCAGCTTCTCACCTTCTAAATTAATGCATAATTTAACTATTTATTTATTGTGTGTCACCCCCTCCTCTCAAATCTCTGTCTTGAGGACAGAGATTTTGTTTTGTTGTTAGTATCCCCAATATTAGGCATCCATAGATATTTACCGAAAGAATAATATGCCTAGTAAAGTATTTGGTAGATACTAGGCAGACAGTAGATAAACTAAACATTAGACCTATTTATTGGCACAATACAGATTAATTTAAACCAAACCCAACCCACTGCCATCAAGTTGATTCCCACTCACAGCAACCCCCATTGGGTTCCAAGGCTATAAATTTTTATGGAAGTAGATTGCCTCATCTTCCTCCCATGGAGCAGCTAGTGGGTTTGAACTGCTGACCTTCTGGTTAGCAGCTAAATGCCTTACCTGCTATGCCACCAGCGCTCCTTACAGATTAACTTAGACCTTATGATTGTCACTATTTCAAACACAATCTGTCTTTTGATCTGTGCTTTCTGTTGGCAATTATTTTTAGCCTGTGTGGTAGTTATGTTTGTGTGTCAACTTGGCTGGGCCTGGCTGAGTGGCTGAGCAGCTGGTGGTAGTTATTCCTCATAATGAGACTGCCAATCAACTCCATGGTGGGATCTACCACAAGCAGCTGAGTAGCTGTCTTTGGGATGTGGTCTGCTTCCTGTATATAAGCAGAAGCCTTGGGAATGGTTTCTAGCTTATGGTATCTTGAACCCTGCATGTAGCCATGTTGTTGTTCAGCAGCCTGCCATGCTCTGCCAACCTTGGGACTTACAATGGACTTGAATTAATGACCTGCTGTGTGGTTTGGTAATATCGGGACTGTGCCTTTTTACTTGTCAACCTTGGGCTTGGCAGCCTCAGCAGCTAACAGCTGTCTGAGTGAAGAAAAGTCTCCAGCTCCAGTGGCCGGGAGCAGGAGGCAGAGCTGAAGCCCAAGGCTGAGGGATTTTCATCCAGTCCCTAGAGCTTGGCACTTTAACTTGGACTTAAAGCCTCCAAACTGTAAGAATAAACTCCTGTTTGTTAAGGCCATCCCATTTGTGGTATATTCTTGTCAGAGTGGCACTAAGTAACCAGAACAGCCTGATTCTAGTCACCTGTGGTTTTCTGTCATGCTGTCTTGGAATATACTGATGGATGGGAATGGAGAATCATTAGCTACTAAAGGATCTCAGTGTATTCTAGTCAATGTATTTACGTGGCTGAGTTCACTGAAAGAATGCCATTCAGCTCTCAGGTCAAATGTTATCTCCTAAGAAGAGATCTCTCATCTTTATAAAACTCTTTATAAACTGTTTATAAAACTGTTGTCTTCATAAAACTGTTCATTCTCCCAACTCCTCCCACTTTACTCCCATCACTCTCTAGGACTTCCATCCCCCTGATTCTATATCTGAAATTGGCATATTTAATTGTTGGCTTACTTACAGTCTATCTTTCACACATACACACACAAAAAATTTAAATCTCCTAAGAAAGAATTATCCAGCCCAAAATATCAATAGTGACAATGTTAAGAAACCTTGACTTAAATGTTTCAAGACTTAGAGGTCATGTTTAAGTCTTTGCCTTCATGGTACTGTTAAACCCAGCTCCCAACCTTTTCCTCCACATTCTCTCAATCACTATGAAAGCACATATATTCAGGTCTAGATTACATATCAGTCTTGCCTTTTCCACTAATTGCAGCATGCAGTAGGCCTGTGTGCATTACCTGCTGCTCATGGAGAACCACTTGACCTTTGAGGGGATTTCCCAGAGGTGCCACTGTCACAAACGGCTGCCAAATTCCACTGGCTACTCTTGGGAAGATGTCAAAAAGATCCACAAAGTGGGCACTTTTCCCAGTCATATCCATGAAGTGTAAGGTAACAGGATTGCATAGAGCTACATACAGAGTATTCTCTTCATTTTCTGAAATGACAAAAAGGTGTTGATTTTGTAGTATGCAACAGATGGCCTGATGGGTTAAGAGGATCAGTGAACACTGAATCATGAGGTTGAACACACAGTTGAAACTCAGAAGATAATCTGTAGATGGATTGATTACGCTGAAAAAGCCCATGGGAGGTCATTTAGTTCCTGCTCTAAATGTAGCAAATGCCACATCTATCTATTCCAGGAAGATAAGTATCTGTCTGTTCCCAAAAGAGTTCCACAATAACTCACAATAACACCATTAAATTTTTAACAACCCTCAATCTCAATTTTAACAATCATCAATTCCTCCCTGTATGGAAGCAAAGTTGTTTTGTGCTGCTTTAAGTTCTGTTTCCCTTGTTGTGTTGCTGGTTCAGATGCACAATGGTTGGTCAACAAGGTCTACTTACTAATCTTTCATTTTTGAGATAGTTATCCTATCTTTAGGCTTTTCTTGTATAAATAAGTAACTCAATTTTCTAAATCTAACTATATGGATATGATTTTCCAAACTTTTGTTCATATTTGGGAATTTATTATAAAATCTGTCTTATCGATCTGAGTTCTTGAAAAAGCCCATTTTTTTTTTAATCCTGTGTTAGTGCTTCTTCAACTTTAAAGTGCATTGGAATCACCCAGGGATCCAATGAAAATGCAGATTCTGATTAGGCGGGTCTGCGGTGGGGCTCTCAGAGTACATACACACACATGTATTGTACACACACATGTATTTATATCTATATCTATCTTTTGTTGTTGTTGTTGTTATGTGCCGTTGAGTCGGCCCCGACTCATAGTGACCCCAACTCATAGCGACCCCTTCTTGGGTTTCTGAGGCAGCATCACTACCGAAGTAGGATTGCCCAACCTTCCTTCCTAGGAGTGGCTGGTGGGTTTGAACCGCCAGCCTTCTGGTTAGCAGTCAAGTGCTTTAGCCACTATGCTACCAAAGCTCCTCTATATCTATCTATCTATCTATATAAATTGAGTTTTCTTTAATATGCATACATATCTATCTATATATTTATGTGTGTATACATATGTATATACACACATGTATATATTATATATATTTATGATTTATAGCCAGTTGCCATCAAATCAATTCTTACTCATGGTGACCCCATATATCTCAGAGTAGAACTGCACTGCACAGGGTTTTCAATGGCTGATTTTTTAAAAGTAGATCACCATGTCTTTCTTCTGACGCACCTCTGGGTAGACGCAAACCTCCAATCTTTTGGTTGGCAGTTGAGTGTATTAACTGTTTATACCACCCAAGGACTCTAGGTGATTCCTATGTACTTTAAAGTTGAAGCATCACTGATAGGGACTTCATATATATATATTTATTATTTAACTTTGATTGTAACCCAAGAAAACGCCGTTCTTCTCACAAACTCAAGGAACAGGGTAAACAAAACAAAACAACAACAACAAAAACCTTGCAAATGTGACCAATATTGAAACAAAGGATTAAATTTATATCAAGGACAGCAAATGAGTTTCATTTGTAAGGGCCCTCTCTGACTGGCAGCGACTGCTTGAAATGTTATGTTGAAAAGAATTCTGACACTGGGACCAGTTTTACTGAGAAAGGTGCGGCAACTGATTAGCAATGTGCTGCACAGACACAGGCAGAGGGTGTAGTTGCTGTTAGGTGCTGTCAAGTCAATTTTCAACTCACAGCAACCCCCGTGACAGAGCAGAACTTCCCCATAAAGTTTTCTCAGCTGTAATCTTTATGGAAGCGGATTGCTAGGTCTTTCACACTTATTTACAATCCTCAAATACTAGACAGGAACCAAAGTTCAGACTCTGTCCCCAAATCACATACATTCTCTCTATCAGCAAATATATTCATACATTTACAATCCTTAAATACTAGACAGGAACCAAAGTTCAGACTCTGTCCCCAAATCACATACATTCTCTCTATCAGCAAATACATTCATCCATTTACAATCCTTAAATACTAGATAGGAGCCAAAGTTCAGACTCTGTCCCAAAATCACACACATTCTATCAGCAAATACATTCATACATTTACAATCCTTAAATACTAGACAAGAACCAAAATTCAGACCCTGTCCCAAAATGACATATAATCTCTCTACCAGCAAAGGTAAAATATCTTAAAAAGAAGACCAATCTGTTAGGGAAAAACCTGTATGGTTTTTTTAAAGTACATATTTTTATTTAATATAGACAATTTGGAGGAATAAATAATATTCAGAGAACTTCCAGTAACAAAATCCAGCTACTGATTTTGCCTAAATAATCCTCATCTTAGTAATGTTATTCCCCTCCACCTCCCTTCTGTTTATGTCAGCCTGGGTAACTGACATTAACTGAGGACTTCTGCCAACAGCACCCAGAGTACCCTGCATGAATCAGTGGGTAGTGGCAACAGTTCAGAGATGGAGATGCCAAAAACCCACACCCTCTATTTGCATTCTTTACAATAAGTTTTAGTGACTGTGAATCATTCCAGCCCTGCAATCACCAAAACAGAATCCCAGCCAAAAAAATCCAATGTTTCTACTTTTTCTTCCCCCCTTCTATTTTTAACACCCGCCTGGGTGTGTTTAACTTTTGCTACAATAGTAATGAGAAACAGACATATGCACACAAACGCAGCAGTGCTTATGTGGATTCTACCATAGCATTTTGTTAGGCTGTTACAGGAAATCAGTTCTAAATTACATATAATTGCCATTCAATTCAAGAACGACAGTCCCTGAGTCTGTCATAGACTTCTTGATGTCTGCAAATGGTTTCAATCTCTCTTTTAAGGGGGAAAAGAAAAATGCATACAGGAAGGAAAAAATCAAAAGAATAAACTGACATACCCTGTAATGTAGCAATGTCACAGACTAAGTTAACTTCATCCAGTGGTAACTTCCAGGAGGCACACTCTTCAGTAAAGTTGAGGGATCTTTCTTCATGCCTTTCTATTGTATACTCCTGTATGTTTATATGCACTGGACCCTATAATAAAGTAGTTATCCAGGTTAAAAAATGTGAGTAGTTACCAAAATAGAGAAAAGCTAAAATTCTCCCAAAACGTAGAATTTGAATTCAAGCACTCACTATCCTGATATATCTTTTCTCACTTTATTTTCTGGCCTGTTACTTCCAACAATAATTCCATATACTTGTGTTTATAAATGCTTTCACATGTGCTATCATATTTCTCACTTTTTTTTCTTCTTACTCACAAAATATACCAGATGTAAAATCCCATTACTTCATTCCTTCCTAAATCAAGAGCCAGTTTTGAACTCCAAGTACCAGGATCCAGAGCTGTCCAAACCAGGAGAATAATTTGTAAAAGAATGAACCAGGGTTGATATATTTCACCGTGAAGGATGATTATTTCCCAGCTTTAATAAGTCTCCAACACATGATACAGAAATGACTGAACCTGAGGTCTTGGAAATAAAATGCAGAAAATGTAACACTAGAATTTTTTTTTTTTAATTACTGATATAGCGTAGTTTATGAAAGGTAAAGTACTTCACACCTGGTGATAATTGTTCAATATAAATATAAGCAGAGGGAGTAATTTCACAATGTCATAGACATTAGTCCTGGGTATGGAGATACGACTTCCTGGAAGATTGTGTAGATTTAAACTGAAATTCAAATGATCTACATATTCTACTGAAAACAAAAACCAAACCCATTGTCCTTGAGTCAAATCTGAACTCATGCTGACACCACAAAATAGAGTAGAACTGCCTGATATGGTTTCCAAGGCTGTAAATCTTTACAGTAGCAGACTGCTACATCTTTCTCTCGAGGTGGCCAGTAAGTTTAGACCACCTACCTTTCTGTTAGTAGCCATGTGCTTAATCACTGCACCACCAGGGCTCCTTGCATGCTCTACAGTCCTTAATTAACTGGTAGGGAAGCACCCCAAAGCTGAGCAGTTGTGGCTGCTATGCCCAAAGGGCAGAAAAACAGGGCCTGCAGGGGTTGAGGGGGTGCGGTCACCACTCAGATGGACTAGGAGAACGAGGCCGCCCAAGGCCAAGGGAGAGGAGTTGCCATCCCAGTGGGCCTGTGAGGCGGAGCTGAAGCCCAGGGCCAAGGAGCCTCCACCCAGAATCCAGAGCCGATGGCCAACACCCAGAGTCTGGAGAGCAGGGCCTTTGCCTAGATGCTCTGAGAGAACAGAGGATTATTTTCAATGCCTGAGAGCTAATGTAAATTGTCTGCTGGTTTTGGACTTGCTTGATGCTTGTTATCCTTTTTTCCCCTCCAATCTCTCCCATCTATAATGGAAATGTCTACCTTGTATCTATTCCACTATTGCACTTTGGAAACAGGTAATTAATTTGTAATCTAGATTTCACAGGCTCACAAATGAAGAAGAATTTTGCCCCAGGATGAAATAAACCTAAAGTCTCATCCATATTTGATTTACATGATTCAGGAGATGAAATATTATACTTAGAGGTGATTTAGACTTTTAGGATAATATGATGCAGTAAATGTGTTTTGCATGTGGGAAGGACATGAATTTTGGGGACTAAAGGGTGGAATGTTATAGATTGAATTGTATACCCTCAAAATTGTGTTGTAAATCACAGCCTCTATTCCTGTGGTTATAATCCCATTTGGGACTGGGTTTCTTTGTTATGCTAATGAGGCAGGATTTGTGTAGCATGTATCCTGAGGCAATCTCTGCTGAGATATAAAAAGAGATTAAACAAGCAAGAGATACAGAGATTGGGAAGACTGACACCAAGCCACAGAGAGATCTCCAAGGAACCAGGAAACCAGCTGAAGTGAGATAAGGATCTTCCCCCAGAGCTGATAAAGAGAAAGCCTTCTCCTAGAGCCTGTGCCATAAACTTGGAAATCTAGCCTCCTAAATGGTGAGGAAGGAACTCTGGTAGCATAGTGCCTAAGGCACTTGACTGCTAACCAGAAGGCTGGCAGTTCAAACCCACCAGCCGCTCCTTGGAAGGAAGGTTGGGCATTCCTACTTCCGTAGTGATACTGCCTTGGAAACCCAAGGAGGGGTCGTTATGAGTCGAGGCCGACTCGATGGCAAATAACAACAACAACAACAACAAATGGTGAGGAAATAAAATTCTGTTTGTTAAAGCCACCCATTTGTGGTGATCCTGCTAGAGCAGACAAGGTAACTGAGATACCTTTCTAACTAAAATGTGTCCCAGGGGCTGAATGACTAAAAACTACATTCCTCAGCTCTCTCGCAGCAAAGATTCTGGATGAGATTTAGGTTCTATCAATGGACTTGCATGAGCAAAGTTTTACTAGGACATGGCCGTTGTTGTTGTTGTTATGTGCCGTGGAGTTGGCCTGACTCATATGGACCCCTCCTTGGGTTTCTGAGGTGGTATCACTACAGAAGTAGGATTGCCCAACTTTCCTTCTGAGGAGTGGCTGGTGGGTTTGAACCGCCAGCCTTCTGGTTAGCAGTCAAGTGCCTTAGGCACTATGTTACCAGAGCTCTGAAGACAGAGCCTAGCAACAACATATAGATAAATAGAGATTGAAAATCCAGTGTAACATTTTAATCTTACTAGCAACCACGTAAAATGAAGACACATATGGAGTAACCATCCTAGGAAAATACATAACATATCTGACTCTCTTGAAATACACATTAGCTCTTAGAAATTTTATCTGGCCATTGAGTCCCTCAGAGGCCAGGTTGGCTTGTTAGAGCAGAAGCTAAATATTTTTTAAAATAACATCACAAGTCATTTCTGAGATTGTATGGATTTTTACCAGGGAAAATATGGAACAATTTTGAACATTTAATGAAGAAATAATAGAGATGTCAACCTTTATGTCTATATGATGAGTTTCTGCTGGGCACAACAGTTTTTGCTTTCCATTTCTTGACTGACCAATTGTCCAATAACCCATGAATATCTGTTCTGGCAGAGGCAACCTGTCAAAGATGATTTGAAAAATAAACATTTCTTCTTGTTTTCCAGACATAGGAAAGAATAATAAGCTATCTATTATCAAACACACATATAAATTTGTAAAACGCTCTACTTGGAAGTGAGTTATACTTCATTTTATTCAAAGAGATTTGAAAGCAGCAACACAAACAGACACATGTATACCAATGTTCATTGCAGCACATTTCACAACAGACAAAAGGTAGAAACAACCTAAATGTCCATCAACAGGTGAATGGATCAACAAATTGTGGTACATATATACAACGGTACAAATTGTGGTACATATTTACAATGTAAAACTCAGCCTTACAGACAAATGAAGTTCTGATGCATGCTACAATACAGATAAATCTCGATAACATTATGCTGAGTGAAATAAACCAATCACAAAAAGCAAAGATACTGTATGATCTCACTTATGTGAAGTACCTAGAATAGGCAATATACTGAGATCAAGGTTTAACAGTGGTTACCAGGGGCAGGAGGGAGGGGGAAAGGATGAGTCATTGTTTAAGAAGCACTGCGTTTCTGTTTATAGGGATGGAAAATTTGGCAAAGAATATTCGTAATGGTTGCACAACATGCATGATGTAATTGGTGTCACTGAATTGTACATGTGAAAAATGTTGAAATAGCAAATCTTGTTTATATATATATATGTATATATACATACACACACACACACACACACACACACATATATATATACAAACAATTTTTAAAAAGAAAAAACCAAAAGCAACAGATAAGACAGTCTATAAAATCACAATTACAATATACTTTAAGAAGAAAAACATTTCAGAAACTCAGAAGGTAAAGTCCCATTTTTATCTTAATAGCAAAAATAAGTAA